TGGGGAGTATTTTGAATGTTGTTGGTAAATTAATAGTGGTGATGAATATGATGGTGAAGAGTGGATATGGTCTGAGCATGAATTACTACATGATGGCTTGTCCATTTGCTGACATGGTTATTAGGAACACTGTTAATAAGGCTCTCCAATCTGATCCCACTCTTGCTGCTGCTCTTGTCAGGATGCATTTCCATGACTGCTTTGTTGAGGTCATTCTCTCTCTCTCTCTCTCTCTCTCTCTCTCTCTCTCTCTCTCTCTCTCTCTCTCTCTCTCTCTCTCTCTCTCTCTCTCTCTCTCTCTCTCTCTCTCATTCTCATTCTCTCATTTTGCTAATTATGTGTGTATTATGTAAATAAAAACGTATAGGGGTGTGATGGATCTGTACTGATAGACTCAACTAAAGATAATACGGCGGAAAAGGATTCACCGGCAAATTTAAGCTTGCGTGGCTATGAAATAATCGATGCTGCCAAGGATGCATTGGAGAGGCAGTGCCCCGGGGTTGTTTCGTGTGCTGATATTCTTGCAATGGCCGCTAGAGACGCTGTTTTCTTCGTAAGAAATAGTACTTTTTTCTCAGATTAATCATTGATCTTTTATTAACAATATTAATATTTGATGATGATGCATGCATGTGTTTAGGCTGGTGGTCCATTCTATGACTTACCTAAAGGAAGAAAAGATGGAAGAAGATCGAAGATCGAAGACACAATCAATCTTCCTCCACCAACCTTAAACAGCTCCGAACTCATCACCATGTTTGGCAAACGTGGCTTCACTGCTCAAGAAATGGTCGTTTTATCTGGTAATTATTATTATTAACACATACCATATTTTATATGTATAAAAAAAATTATTTTTTTTATATGAAGGTGGGCACACACTGGGAATGGCGAGATGCTCGTCGTTCAAAAGCCGTCTGACAAACTTCGACTCGACGCACGATGTGGACCCCAACTTGGACACGCAGTTTGCAAGAACACTGTTGAAGACATGCAGCGGAGGTGACAAAGCAGAGCAGCCATTCGATTCGTCGAGAAACAGTTTCGACAATGATTACTTCAACGCACTACAGAGGAAAGCAGGTGTTCTTGTTTCAGACCAGACACTGTTTGCAAGTGCGATGACTAGAGGGATGGTGAATGCATACGCAACAAACCAGGCCATGTTCTTCTTCGATTTTCAGCGCGCTTTTGTGAAAATGGGGTTGATGGATGTTAAAGAAGGTTCCAAGGGTGAAGTTAGAAACACTTGTCGGATCATTAACTGATATACTTCTACTTCTTCCTGCTTATGCTGATGCTTCTTCTTTTACATTTTGTCTGTATAATTACATATTATTAGGGCTCACAACAATTGTTCCTTCTCCTTTTTGGCATAATTATAATATATTTTTGTGGGTGTAATAATAGTTTAAATGTCTTGATCTCCTTCACCAACTATGCAACAAATCTGATTTTGTGGTGAATTTATGATCTGCATATTAC